AAATCCCCGCAAATTAAGGGAATTTCTTGGGGTTACCAGTGTCCCCATTGAAAGATTTCCCCTCTAATACTTTTCTGGGGACAACCCAAAATTTGGGATTTTCTTTTAAAGTGGAATTCAAACACCCCCCAAAAAAAAAAACAAATACTGTAGCTGCTGACTTTTAATATTAGGGCACTTACCTATCCAGGGATCCAGCGGTGCCCTCACCTCATGGTGCTGGCACCGCCATCTTGACTAAGGGAAACTGGAAGTGAAGCCTTGTTGCTTCACAGCTGGCTGCATGAGTGAAGTGAGCTGTGCTTTGTGAATGGGCCGCAGTCCTGTGGGACCTGTTGACTTTCCCACGGCAAGGCGAACTGAGCTGGGAGTGGGACTGGTTACCTGTCAAAACCAAGTACTCGCCCCCCCCCCCCAAGAGGTACCAAATGTGACAGCGAAGGGGGGGGGGGGGGCGCAAATAAGCAGAGCTTCCACTTTTGGGTGGAACTCCGCTTTAACTTTCAATGATAATGATAAACAGGACAGAGAGGGTGAATCTCTCTAACGGGGACACGGTTTGTTATACTCTAAGAAGTAATAATTTATTTTAAATAATAGAAATTATATTAAATTATTCATAGTAGTATTATTTTTCATTGTGTATGTAAAGTATTATATTTTATATAACATTTTATATAAAAATAAATATACCACTGCCACTACTATCACCACCAATTTATTTTAAGTAATAACAATAATAAAATGCTTTATTATTACAATTATTATTCTTTCTATAAAATTATTATTATTGTTTGTGGTAGTAGTAGTGTTTTTTTTTTTTTTCATATAAAACCGTATTAGTATATTATAGAAAATATAAGATTATTAATAATCACAATATTAATAAACAAGAACAATTTATATTTTAAAATAAATACTACTAATAAAAAATAACAAAAACAGTAATAATGTTATTATTATTATTATTATTATTATTAACAAATTAGCAGTAGTGGTGGTATTTTTTTATTTTTTATAAAATATTCATATTATTTATTTTAGATAATATTAATAATACTACTGGAAACATTAAAAAAAAATATCTTTAGGGGAAATAATGGAAGAACCTGGACATGTTTTAACCACCTCCCATCCAGCCGTTGGCCAATCAGTGATCACATGCAGAGTAGTAAGCAAGATTTCACTTCTGACATCATTGCTTACTACGTGTGAAATCTGTGAATGATCACAGAGGTCACATGGTACAAGGCTAATCACAACAGCCTTGTACCATGCGACAGGGTGTGACCAATCACAGCTCACACAGTAGTTCTCAATGGCTGCAAGAATGCAGCCAGAGAGAAGAGAAGAGAAATGATTGCTTTTACATCCTTTATGGGTGTAAAAGCAATCAGTGTAAAAAAAATAAATAAATATTCATCACCCTCCACAAGTAGTACAGTGTCACCATGGTGACACTGTACTGCTAGGGTGACCGTATGTAAAAAAAAAATAAAAAATAAAAAATAACAAAATTTAAAAAAATGTTTAAAAATTATAATTTTTGGTTATAAACTAATTTGGGTTATTTTGTTTTTACTAAAAATATAACGGAATAAATTTTGGCCAAGATTTTTGATGAAATACTATTTATTTGCAAAATGTTATAAGAAAAACGCTTTTTTTCAAAATTTTTGGACTTTGTAACTTACATAGCAAAAAAAATAAAAATCCCAGTGGTGAATAAATACCACCAAAATAAAGCTTTATCTGTCTCAAAAAAACGCTAAAAAAGTCATATGGGTACAGTGTTGCATGACCGCGCAATTGTCATTCAAAGTGTGATAACGCTGAAAGCTGAAAATTGGCCTGGACAGGAAGGGGATGAAAGTGTCCGGACTGGAAGGGGGTGAAAGTGTCCGGACTGGAAGGGGGTGTGAAAGTGTCCGGACTGGAGGGGGGGAAAGTGTCCGGACTGGAAGGGGGGAAAAGTGTCCGGACTGGAAGGGGGGAAAAGTGTCCGGACTGGAAGGGGGGGAAAAGTGTCCGGACTGGAAGGGGGGAAAAGTGTCCGGACTGGAAGGGGGGAAAAGTGTCCGGACTGGAAGGGGAGAAAAGTGTCCGGACTGGAAAGTGGGGGAGAAAAGTGTCCGGACTGGAAGGGGAGAAAAGTGTCCCGACTGGAAGGGGGGGGGGGGAAAGTCCCGACTGGAAGGGGGGGAAAGTGTCCCGACTGGAAGGGGGGGAAAGTGTCCCGACTGGAAGTGTCCCGACTGGGGGGGAAAGTGTCCCGACTGGAAGGGGGGGGAAAGTGTCCCGACTGGAAGGGGGAGGAAAGTGTCCGGACAGGAAGGGGGAGGAAAGTGTCCGGACAGGAAGGGGGAGGAAAGTGTCCGGACTGGAAGGGGGAGGAAAGTGTCCGGACTGGAAGGGGGGGAAAGTGTCCGGACTGGAAGGGGGGGAAAGTGTCCGGACTGGAAGGGGGGGAAAGTGTCCGGACTGGAAGGGGGGGAAAGTGTCCGGACTGGAAGGGGGGGAAAGTGTCCGGACTGGAAGGGGGGGAAAGTGTCCGGACTGGAAGGGGGGGGAAAGTGTCCGGACTGGAAGGGGGGAAAGTGTCCGGACTGGAAGGGGGGGAAAGTGTCCGGACTGGAAGGGGGGGAAAGTGTCCGGACTGGAAGGGGGGGAAAGTGTCCGGACTGGAAGGGGGGGAAAGTGTCCGGACTGGAAGGGGGTAAAGTGCCCGGACTGGAAGGGGGGAAAGTGCCCGGACTGGAAGGGGGGAAAGTGCCCGGACTGGAAGGGGGGAAAGTGCCCGGACTGGAAGGGGGGGGGAAAGTGCCCGGACTGGAAGGGGGGGAAAGTGCCCGGACTGGAAGGGGGGGAAAGTGCCCGGACTGGAAGGGGGGGAAAGTGTCCGGACTGGAAGGGGGGGAAAGTGTCCGGACTGGAAGGGGGGGAAAGTGTCAGGACTGGAAAGGGGGAAAGTGTCAGGACTGGAAAGGGGGAAAGTGTCAGGACTGGAAGGGGGGAAAGTGTCAGGACTGGAAGGGGGGAAAGTGTCAGGACTGGAAGGGGGGAAAGTGTCCGGACTGGAAGGGGGGGAAAGTGTCCGGACTGGAAGGAGGAGAAAGTGTCTGGACTGGAAGGGGGGGAAAGTGTCCGGACTGGAAGGGGGGGGAAAGTGTCCAGACTGGATGGGGGGGAAAGTGTCCAGACTGGATGGGGGGGGAAAGTGTCCGGACTGGAAGGGGGGGAAAGTGTCCGGACTGGAAGTGGTTAAGAGACGACTCAGCTGGAAGCCAAAGAACCCTATAATCACACTATAGCTTTCCTCCCAACGTGATTGTGTTCTGAGGAATTGAGCTCTGTATGGCCACACTCAGGAAGGCAGATTTAACATTTCCTTTCAGTTCCTGACCTGTGCAGCAATCAAATTACGACACAACCGCAGTGGGAACATTCCTCGTCTGCAACACTGTACAGGACTTCATCATCATCATCGTGAAGACTGTGTTGCAAATACTGAACAGGCTGTGAATCCAACTCCACAGACGTTTATTTCCTTCCAAAGAAAAAAAAATGTTTGGAACCCACCCACAAGGTTTTTTTGGCATTGGAGTATTGCCTGTACTCCCTATTGATGGCTCAGAGTGATGGAAGGATTTGAACGTCAGTAAGGTCTCAAATTCTATGAACCATGTTGTGATTTTCTGGATGCTCACCCATAACCGCAAGCAACCCACAACATCATTGGCTGCAACAGGACAGGCAAGGGATTGTTGCAAGGGAGTATCAGGGGTTCGCAGATGAGGGACCATTATAAAGAAACCGTCACTTTGCCCTGAATTCTGGAGAGTTCACCTCGCTTCCTATTGGAGAGAAGTTGTACGTAACAGGAAGTAAAAAGGCTGTCCAGCCACCTGACCGCTTCCACGGCCCCAGGTAGTGCAGCCCCTGGGCCAAACAAACAGACCAATGATGTCTGACAAAAAAGGTGTAAAAAAATAAAAGGTACATGCAAGCACTTAACCGCCCTCCCCCCATTAAAGAAAAACAAAAAACAAAAAAACAAAACAAACTAAAACTTTAGGGTATGGAAGCTCATCATCGTTTCACAGTTTTAAGGCTTGACATGTTTGGTATCTCTTTACTCGGTGCAACCTCAACTTTTACATTTTCCCAAAAATTGGGTAAATATATTGCATATATATGCCTTAAAACTAAGAAAAATTTGCGCTCAAACTGTTACATTGATATCATGTAACAAAAAAAAATTTGGAACTGCTGCTATTTATTCGCTCTGCTTTTAGAAAATGTTTGGGAGTTTGTAACTAATCTTCAGACCTAAAAAGGATTTTTTTTTTTTTTTAAATGTGTTTAAAAAAAAAAAAAAGCAGCTCTAGCAGTGAAAGGGTTAAGTAAAGAGGAATACAAGATGATAATTTTAAAAAGACAAAAAAAAAAAGCAACAGGGGTTAAGTTAAGAGGAATACAAGATGCTAATTTTACAAAGACTTAAACATAAATAAAAACCAACTCTAGCAATGAAAGGGTTAACTAAAGAGGAATACAAGATGCCAATTTTAAAGACTAAAAAAAAAAAAAAAAAGCAGCACTAGCAGTGAAAGGGTTAAGTGAAGAGGAATACAAGATGCTAATTTTAAAAAGACTAAAAAATAAATAAATAAAAAAGCAGCTCTAGCGGTGACAGGGTTAAGTAAAGAAGAATATAAGATGCTAATTTTAAAGA